TTTTCTATTGTGGATCATTCAGTTGATAGGATGATGGTAGATACCTCTAAAGCTTCGGTTTCTTAACATTATTTCATCCCCTTATGCTTTAGGTGTTTTTAGTCAAGATCTCCATAACAAGAGTGAGAGCCAACTTTGTTCCCCAATTAGTGAGCCTTATGGTGACTGTGCTCTCACCCAATGTGGCTATGCACCCTATAGAGTGGTACAACAATTCTACTCAGGGTACAGATATAAGAAAGATTCTTTGATATTGGAGGCTTTGCCAAACAAATAATGATCTTACATTTATTTGGGGGAGAGAAAGTGTTTTGGTACTTGAAAGAATCATGAACAAAGTCTATTTTGACTGAATGTTTAACAGGTAATGTTTCTGTGGGTTATTTTAAGTAGGATTTTCCCTTTTTCTAAAATGCCTTTTATTTTGCTCAAAAAAAGTTAAAATCTAAAACTCCAACAAATTTTTAAAAATGAAGAAAAAACACAAAGCAAACAAGACATTGAAAAAGGTACCTTAAAAAGAAACCCAACACATATATACATATTATCTCCCCTAATTTAATACTGATTAATACATTACTACGATATTGGTTTCAAAACCCTCGGTTAACAAATGGTTATTATAATCAACTCGTACAAAATTTACCACAGCATCTTCTCCATCCCAAGAGTTAAAAGTAATTCATTCTGGATCGAATATCCTTGTTTGTTTCTTAATACCATCTTTTATCAATTGTTAATTAAATATAATAAATTCAGTCTCCACAATCGATCTATCTTCTCAGTAAAGTCCAGATGAAAGTGGCTTCTGATTAAGTGTCATAAAACCATTCCCCAATATTCTTCAGTCCTCTTAGGAAAAACCAATTTATCACTTCTACTTTCAGATGGGCTTCTGCTAGAAGTAAAAGAATACAGGCTTGAATTTCAGAGAAGGATATGCAGTCGGTTCAGTTGGTTCTACATTTGTACAGTCCATATCTCTTTCCAGACTTTCCAACAAGTCTGCAGCTTTCAAATCACATTCCTTTTGTGAATCTAATTTATTCAGAACTACATGCATCCGAATATTTTCCACACTCATTATCATTTCATCATTTTTTTAAAAAAAGCTTTCAACTAAAAATTATATGTTACCAAAAAGTCTTTTTTTTTGTGGATATCAAATACTCTTCCTTGTCTGTAATCTGATATATAGTTGTTCTATGTAACTTAGCCAGGAAACAAAGAACACTGAAGCAGAAAAAAATAGAAAACATATTTTTGGGATATTTCGGTCCAAGATGAAAATAAAAAATAAATTCCAAATATTATGCAAATTAAAAGAATGCAAAAATCTTGTGAGAGTCAATACAAGGACACGCCCAGTGGTGGGATTCAAATATGTGAACAACTGGTTCTCTGTGTGGATGCCACTTCCGGAAGTCCATTCTGGGCCTGGGCAACAAAAAATTAGCTACCAGTTCTGCCGAAGTGGTGCGAACTGGCTGAATCCCACTACTGGACATGCCATGTTTCCTTACAGGAAAATAAAAGTTCCTCAAAACAACATAAATCAAAAAGAAAAAGAAAAAAACAGCTAATGTCCAGCAGATGGTTAAATAAATCAGCATTCAACCAGCTGGTCAAACTTTAAAGATAAAAAGCAGAGTAAAACAGAAAATTCAAAAAGTGAAGTTAAAACCCAGGTGTGCTTAAGGAAATGAACTGCTGAAAGGAAGATGGATGACCAGTGACTTTCTGATCACTCCCAAAGAAAACTGGAATCTTCAAAACTTCTCTTCCCAGAGGGGTTCACAGCCATCCAAAAGTTGTTGTGGGTCATTTCTAAGTGCTCCCATTCAAATCCATGGAGCCACCACTGCCAGAAAACCACTTTTGGCAACAAAAACAGCAAATCATCAGCAAGAGACAAAATACTTCTTATTGTTCAGCAGCCATCTTGGGGAGGAGTAAAATAGGGCCCAGAAGTATAATTTCCTTCTGTTCTATACAATATGGTATATGTTGACTGCAAGGCTATTGTATGGAATTGAACATAGCTCTCATGGTTAAAATATTGTCACAGCAGTGATGAACGGGATACTTGCTTACATAGCAATTGACATCGCTTGTTAAATTTTAATATTTACTTTTTATTAGACTTTTATCTCACTTTTATTACTGTATATGTAACTCAAGCCGATGAACATGCATAATACTCCTCCCTCCACAATCATGTGAAGTGGGTTCGACTGAAAAAGCATGATCAAAGGTACCCAGTCAGCTTACATGCCTAAAACAGAACTAGAATTCACAGTCTCCTGGTTTCTAGACCAGCACCTTAAACTCTACACCAAACTGATTCTTCCACTTGGAATTTAAAATGAATTTCTTACTTAGTCTGCCTATATAGTTGGGTAATTGTTTCCATGTAGTAACACCTGTGTGCAGTGGTGGGATTCAGCCTATTCACACCACTTCGGCAGAACCAGTAGCTAATTTTTTGTTGCCCAAGCCCAGAATGGACTTCCAGAAGCGGCATCTACACAGAGAACCGGTTGTTCACGTATTTGAATCCCACCACTACCTGTGTGCCTTTGGAAGGGAGGATTCTTATGTTCCTTTGGTATCTTCTGTAGTGTGAAATATTTTTTTTACTCGTACCAAGTTGTCTTGCAGCCATCTGATATAAGATTTTTCTACTGAAACTAAGAATACTCAGTTTTGAATGAAAATAGCCCCATTTCCCTAGAGATAAGAATTTGTGGGCTTCAAGTTGACAATTGACCATCAAGCATCTGGAAGAGACATGTTGTATGGACCATTTTGAAATGGCTTGTGTGTGTTTGTATGTATATATGCATGTGTATTATCCCAAGCTTTTGTTGTCTCACTGTTGATGAAATAAAGGGATTTCTTCCATTTCAGGCAAAATTCACCTGAATACTGAGTTTTTAAATCTGATCTCATCTTCTGAGTTACCTGAAAAAAGGCTGGAGTGGCAATCTGTTTTCCCATTTAGGAAAAAAAATGTCTTGATTGTTTTAGTTACTGATGTTTACCTCTTAGTACAATTAACAAGTAACTATAGAGAAATATGTGTGGGAAAACAAGTGTAAATTCTAGGCAAAACATCTTTTAAAAACTAAAGCCATTTTTATTTTTCTCTATATTGGACAACTATTTTAGTTGACGTGAATAAAAAGATATCTAACTCAAGTCAGATTTATTCTGGAATTTTTTTTAACAATTCTCTCTTTGTTCTTCATTGACTACTTTGATACGAAAGGATTTTATTAATAATATTTCCAGTTCATGTTAAAACCTTTATTTGCTAATGTGGAATCTGCTTTGCTGTGCATGGCACATGATACTGATATGCAAAAGGGAGAATAGAGGCAGGCAGGAATAGCAATAGCAATTGCCCTTAGACTGATATAGTAAATAGTATTGAATTAAAATCTCTAGACTTACATTTTATTACTGCTGGTCCAAAATGTATATGCTGCACATGTTCAAAGTAATGAGAACATTAGCTTTTTTTGTGAAAATACAGTCAAACCTCAGTTCAGTTCATAAAGAATAAAATCATAATTGGATAAAAAAGGATGATTCTGTTTTTGTCCCAAATGCAGGCTTGAAGTAATGCATTTGACTGCAATTTATTTAGGCATTTAGATACTATTTTGACTCAGTTTCTGGAAAAGAGTGAAATGCCTCTGCATGTTTCTTTTTGGATGGAGTAAACATGAAGGCTAAATGGAACAACATAAAGTGCAGCAATTTGCAACTAGTTTTTGAAACGACATCAGCAACTGTCAATGGGGAGCCTCTTGCCATGTCATGTTCTTGTAAGAAGCCAAGCCAAAGTTCATATTATAACAAAGAATGGCTTCACATTGTTCTGTACATAACAGCCTCACCCTTCTGTCTTTAGTTCACTGGAAAACACACAGTGTATGTTGATAAGTAGCACAGCAGTATTTTTAGAGAGTAATCTTATCATTATTTGAGTACAGCAAGACATCAAGAACCTAATCTCTACTTGTTAAATGAAGTTCATTTCAGAGAGGACTATATCTTACATGGTATCCTGTTTAAAAATGATTGGGATAATGAAAATAAAATTTGTTATTTAGTATGCATTGCTTGTTATGTATTAAATATTTCAAAATACAGGAAAGCTGAAACTAAATGGCATGGTAGGTAAATAAGATTGTGGAACAAATCCCCCCCCCCCAGCAATATTAAAATGAGGAATCTTGATCTAGCTTAGCAAAACCATCTCAGTAGAAGCCATCTGGGGAAATGCATGTCTAATTGTGTGGAACTAGATAAAGCAAGATATTAAGGGTCTCTCAGGACCTTGGACAGATCCTTTAGGCAGGTTCCCCTCCCCCTCACACACATACAACTTGGGAAGTTGTCCCAGCGGGATGAAAGGATTTCTAATATGGATGTCTTCTTTTACCTACTTCCTCTGAAAAATGAGCTGTATCTCTTAAAGGTCTAATGGTATATTTTGTACTTAGAATATGTGGCGATGAAGACTGAAGGTCCCAATAGAGCCATGTTCACTTGGCCAAATGATGCCCATGACCAGAAGTCACATTATTATCTGGGGTGAGAATGGAAAATAATCTCCAGAAAACAACAGGAATTAAGTGATTAGATGGGCATGGTCATGAACTTCATCGCAATGAATCATATATTGCTGTAATTCTTAAAGTTTGTTTTTTGGCTTGGATATTAGGGCCAGAATGGGCTTTTATTATATCTGATAAACCTGTGAATATGCAGGGAGAGAAAATGAAAACTAGAAAAAGCAGAGCTGATAGTGGTATTTGGTAGGAAAAACTAAGGTTTTAAAATGTTGATTCTAGGAAAGGTAGAGTTGTGATATTAGCATTTTATTTAATTCATAAACTGTTTTGAGATGACACTGCAGAAGACATCCAGGCAAATGGAATTGACTCTGAATCTTTGCTATATAATTTTTTCTTTATTTTCTGTTACAGGAGCAAGAAGATCCTAACAAGCTTGCTACAAGCTGGCCAGATTATTACATTGATCGCATCAATTCCATGGCAGCAGTAAGTAGACTCTTTACCATCTATAAATTGTTATCTAGATCTTTCTAACTCTGCTTGATCTCTTCATCCACCCTAGTGCTGTTGGAGGGCCTAATTCTTAGGAATAATCCAGCCTCCCCACCTTTCTACATTTTCCTAAATTGTAAATAGTCACAAAGCTTTTAAGCCAATGGTGGAACTACTACCAACTCAAGCATTGCACCAGACTTTCTGTGGCATGTCAAGGACTGTAGTCCAAAAATGTGTTGATCAAAATCTATTTAAGGAGAATTTCAGGAGTTCTAAGGCATGAGGGCTTTAGACTATTTTTTTTGCTCTTTACATCTCCTAAATCATGTAAATGTTTGGCTTTACTTGGAGAAAAGAAGACGCTATGGTTCTCAATCAGCAATTTTGCACGCCATCTCTAAGATCTTAAATTTGTGGAAAGAAATGAAAAATGAAGGTACTAGCTAGGAACTCATTTCTACCCTTCCATATTTTTTTAAAGAGGGCAAAATCAGCATACCTTTATCTCTCTCTATTTTTTTAAACTTAAAAAAGGCTACTTCACTAATCTTTGATAACAGAATAACAGAGTTGAAGGGACCTTGGAGGTCTTCTAGTCCAAATCCCTGCACAAGCAGAAGATCCTATACCATTCCAGGCAAATGGCTGTCTAGTCTCTTGTTGAAAGCTTCCAATGATGGGGCATCCACAACTTCTGAAGGCAACCAGTCCATGGATTAATTGTTCTCACTGTTCAGAAATTTCTCCTTAGTTTTAGGTTCCTTCTCTCCTAATAGTTTCCATCTTGTTTCTTGTCTTGCCTTCTGGTGCTTTGGAGACTAGGTTAACTCCCTCTTCTTTGTGGCAGCCCCTCAAATATTGGAACACTGTTATCATGTCACCCCTAATCCTTCTTTTCAGAACTGCAACTGTTCTTCATATGTTTTAGCCTCCAGCCCCCTAATCATTTTTGTTGCTTTGTTTTGATATAGTTCAAAACTTTCAAACTATCCGGTTATCTTTCTATTCACTGTCTCTTCAATGTATCTAGCTATGGATCTGTGATCCCATGGCCCCACCCTCTTCTGTAGCCACTCACAGGCTATCCTGATAATTTTTTGGCCAGTAGAACAAATAAATAGTTCATGCCTTTGCTGGATTCAATGAGATGCAAGGAAAATAGGAATATTTTGGTAGTTCTTAGGAATTGCTTCTCTTACCTTGTTCTGAAACACATGAAGCATTTGGTGGAATGGATCTTTGTATTTTGGTATACTTATAAACATATGAAATCCTTATTATTGCCATCTTTCTTCCCTCCTTTTTCAGCAATATAAAATGTTGAACAGTTCAGGTCATTTTTCTTTCTGTCTTCAGTAGCCTGAACTTAATAATGCAAGCCCCTTTCCTGTTTTATGAGAAGAAAGAAAAGTTACTTTTACTGTGTTGGTTTTGGAAACTTGTCAGTACTTGTACTCCAAGTTATATTCATTTTGTAGAAAGGTTTGCAAAGGAATGACTGAAGCTACTCTTTAGAACCGTGACTACCCTGAACATATGATGTGTGTATGTCAAAGGCCAACAAGACAGCTGTTATGCATTTAAATTTCATAATTTAGAAATAATTTACTTGGAACATAACAGCTTGATGGAGCAGAAAAGAAAATACATCTTTCAGTACACCTAACTCCACTTTGGATAACTTTCAGTTCAACCCACTTCTATAAACAATGGGGACAAAGAACAGGCAATGCATGGAGGTTAATGTATAGGCAGTTCCTATAAGAATGATGTCAGATGTTTCCACTTTCCTTGTTCAGGTGTCAGAGTCACTGGATGATGAGTTTTGCTGTTTTTTTTTTAAAAAAAACGTACATTTATAAATTAGCTCTAAGTTATTTGATACTGTGGATACATGGCTCTTCCATCTTTAGGGATAAATCCCAAAAGCAAAGCCTGGTAGGAATAAGATTAGTTCCTTAATGGCAGCCACTATTGGAAAGCGATTGTCTGTAAGAGTATTTGGGGTGATTGGTTTTTGCTATGTTTAAATTTCATCTTGACAGAATCCTTAAGAGTTCAGTAACAGTAACTCTAAGGAAAAATAAAATTTCACTATAGCTTGTATTTGCAAAGGGCAGAGGGTACTTGCGAGTGAGCCAAGAGAAGAAAAATAGAAGAAAGTACAGATTAAGATCCTTTTATTTTCTGAAAAGCCTTCCATTGAGATTGGTTTTTTTAAAAAACGTTTTTATTGCTAGCTTTTTAACATTTGGTTTAATTTTTTTACTTTCTTGCTGTGAAAGGCTACCCTCTCTGCTAAGAGAGACAATTAGTTGCTTGGTTCAGTGGACTGAATTTGACTTTCCACAGAGGTCAGTCTCAAAATTTTATTCCACATCTCTGGGCCAGTTGTGTAGCATATGTTACAAAAGTCAAATTGCTTCATTGACTGACTATCCTGAAGTGTAGACTTGTGTTGGAATATCCAACTCTGGATTCTGTAAGCTGCAAACACAAAGTGAGATGAAAAGCTTTGGGGAAAAGAAGTAGGGTATAAAGGGGTATGAATGAAAGAGATTTTTTAATGGGAACTTTATTTGAAAATTTTGTCTTTTGTAACATGCTACTGTCAATGTCTGAGAATATTGGTGTGTTTTTTTTAAAAAAAAATCTTCTTCTTATAGTTATTTAAAATTAACTGCAGGTGAAAAATAAAATAAGCAAAGAAACTATAATCATGCCTATTTGAAATCCAAACTTTCAAAACCAGTGGGGCTTCCTAGAAAGTAGAATCTTTTCTTTCAGCTCTGTTGCTGAAGGTTTTGTTTTCTTGATAGCATCCAAATGGTTTCTCCGACTTAATTGGACAGGTAATGCTTGATTAACCTTGAATTACTCAATAATTTCATCTTTTCTCCTGTTCTGGATTCGTAACTCTTTCTTGGTCTCATCCAAACAGATGCAGACCCTGTATGCTTTTGATGAAGAAGAAACAGAAATGAGGAATAAAATAGTTGAAGACTTGAAAACAGCTCTGCGAACTCAGCCCATGAGGTAGGTCATATATTTTGCTTCCAAGATGCTTCTTAGGGTTAGAACCATCCATCATGGAAAAAATGTAAGATACAAGATAATCCCTTCCCTTGTTCTCAAAATACCATGTAGAGAACAGCAGGCTAATTGAAGTTACATTTTATTTTCTATTGGTATAATGTTTTAGAATAAGCTTAGAGAGCAAAATCTATCTGCACCACTTTTTTCCTTTAAGTATATGTAAGCTTACATCTCAAACAATTCTACAGTTAGATCTTCTTTGTCACCTTCCACCTGAACCATATTGGATATTGGAAACTTTTTTTCTTCTCTCTAGATTTTTTTTCCACCCAGAAATTCTTCTGCTTTTCTGATAATCTACCTGATGCTTTCTTATGTTAATGCTATACATCATCTTTCCACACATTGCTTAAATCTCTTGCCAAAGTCATCTGGGCTTAAAGCCTTTCAGGATTTCAGGATAATTTGTGAAATGCTGAGCTTCTAATATATACTAACCAACATTGAAAATAATTTCCCACAAATCCTTGGCTTGTTTTAGTTTGGCATATGCAGGCACCTGTCTGTCTGTTCATTCATCCATCTGGGGGCTTTGGGGAATGGCAGGGAGGAGAGGAGAAAAATGAAATGAGAGAAATAGAAGGACAATGTGGGAAGTTTGTACATTGAGGTTGCTATAATCTGAACTCCTGTTAAATTCCATTTGTGCAGGCTATGAACACTTATTGCACAGGATAAATCTCATCCAGTAGAATCTTGAATTGCGAAGCATAAAATATTAGGCAATCTGCTTTTAGTTTTCTGCATTAATCACTAGAGTTGCACAGAGATTTGTAGTCAAATAAAACAATTGCTCTTCATTTTGGTTCAGTACTTCCATGATAGAATCTTTCTGTATATCAGAGATGGAGAAGTCACAGAAGACATAACCAAACATGCTTTCTTCTGTTGCTAATGTAAGGTTTTTGAAAATATGGTACGGTACTTATTAATCAGCCTCATCAACCTTTTTTGTCCCAATTTCATAATATGCAGTGGATAGTGTGGACAATTTTTCTACTTGCCATGCTAAAATGTACGTGTATACTATATATAGTTTCCTATCATCCTTTTCCATCATGCCAGAAAAGACATTACTAATAGGACAGGCTTTTTTTCTGAAACCTTTCGGAGTTCATTTGGAATTTTTTCCAGATAAGTCCAGCATTACTTTGGCTAAAGACATCTGACAGCAGGCATTTATTTCCTTTGTTTATAACAGCTGTAATGAGTGTCAGCAGCAGCAGCCACAAAGTATCACATAAAGTCTTTGCTTCTAAATTGCTGGCTGCAGCCCTGAGGGCTTATCCTTTTTTTTCTTTCTTTCTTTTTTAGCAATCGCCAAGCCAAATTTCAAGTTAAGTCTCATAGCTCAACTGATTCCAGAGACTCAGTTTGCTTATTGCAGGATTGACTCTATGCCAACAGTCATTACCTAAGCCAGTTCAGTCTTTAATGGAAAATAGAGGTACTTGTGGCTCTATCCAGTCCTCTTTGATAAAAAGTCCCTCAGGATACTGGTCTTGGAACCAAAAAAGGATGGTTGTTGTTTTGTAATGCCAGTTCAAAAGCCTTATAATCACATCTCTGGCTGAACCTGGAGCAATAAACTTGCTTTAGTGTTCATATATGAATATCTTACAAAATGTAATATGTTTATGGCATAAACTCACCCATAAAGTTAATTTTATGAAGTGTTTATGTAGCTTGCTAGCTGATTCCATTGTAATTAGGTTTGTATCGTTCTTTGCCAAAGAGAAGTCAAACTTTGCACTTTGGACACCTCATTTGTAGCTCAGAAATAATGACAACATATTAAACATCTGCAGAATCTCTCCTGTTTACAACATCAGCCTTGGACATCAGTGGTAGAAAACCTAATATAAAGGGAGGAGGTAAACTTCCTGTATATCTCATACAAGCTTTTCAACTGACTTAGCTGCTGAATTTTGAATTTACTCAAAATATTTCCAAAGCGTTTCTACATTTGATCCAGAGATGTTCTTGACACTATGGCTGTGTATGTCTTCACTTTGCTTCATCCAAAATCCAATGCAAATTAGCTAAATAAACAGTGCCATACAGAGAGAGAAAAGGTTACACCATCCCTACTTAATCTAGTAAGAATTATGATCCAAATTATCTCTGCCTTAGTGCCTTGTTGTGCCTTGAGGTAGAAAGTCACAGCTTTTCAAGGGACTTTGCTACTCGTCAAGACAAATCACTTATAACTGTTGATTGTACTTGTTCGTTTTTATTTGATTCAGTGATGTCTCTAAAGTAAGAAGAAACTTGGGCATGCAAGTAACTGGCCATATTCTAGAAATAATATGAGGGATTCTCCTGTGTATTTAGTGAAATTCCACTGTTCTTTCGGATGGTGGTTACATGGTGGTTACAAGAGGCACCATATTAATTGAACAGCCTTTTTTTCCTTTGTAAGAAAAGTTTGAGGTCCAACTTGAACTCAGATGTGTTTCTGTAAAGTGATTGGATCCTTTGCTTTGAAAAGTACATTGTTTTTTACAATAAAGTTGATTTGTAATAGTAGCCATTGCACATATCTCCAAGTCTGGTACCACTGAACTGTAGAAATGGTTTAGCAATTAGAGCCAATTCAGCAATTACAAAGCATTCAGTCACACTGCTTAGGGAAGACCTGACAATAACATGTAAGAAACAATTGGAAGAAAGTGAAGATTTCCTTGTGAGTCGGTTTTAACCATCAGCAACTATGATTATAAAAATATCAGTTTTGAAACACAACAGAAAATTTGTAGTACAGCTTCTGTTAACCATCAGTTACCTTGGCAAGTCAGGATGTTGTTGAAAAGAAAAAGTTCTAAATAGAATAGGGAGAACTTAGCTGTATCTTTGTTAAAGAGTGAGCAAAATGGAAAAGTATCAAGAAAACTTGTTTTCTTTTAGCCAAGAAATACTTCCATCAACTAGCTGATTAAAAAAAAGTCATTGGAAAATGTGTGTTTTATTTTAGCATGCCTTTGTATTCTTATTCTTCTGATGACCTCTGGTAGATAGAGCCTATTTCAATCCATATTTTAGGTGGGATATAAGACCAGGATTTTTCAATGGTGAACATGTTCCTTGATCATAATATCTGAAGTAAAAATGGAATGGAATAGCAGCTGCCAGTTAGGTTTAAGGCATGCAGGGCAATTATGTGATAGGAATGAAACTCAGAAAAACAATTATGTTGTCAATGCTGCTAACATCGGATGTTCTTGCTTTGACAACAGATGGAAATGTAGCCATCTTTTCTCTATCACTTTTAGAGTTCGTTGATGCTGGGAGGGGAAATGTGGATGAGAGTCCAGCTAGTCATAACAATAATAACTCAGCCGTGGGAACCCAAGGTTATTAGGTCCAGAGTTGATAGAAATTTGGCGGGCAGGAAAGATGGGGAGAAAGCCCATGCTTCAAGTTAATTGGGGAATGTGATTTATGACTGTTAATTGGAGGAGGGAATTGCACTTTGCTACTTTGTGCCAGGGGGAGGGGAATTCAGTTTTTGGCTTCAACTATGCAGTGCCGATACTTTGTTTCACGAATAAAAGATTATTTAAGGAAAACAATGCCTCGAAGTTCTTTTGAAGAGATTCATCTGTCGGAACTATGACATCTGTAGGACATTTTTAAATCCTGTGTCCATAAAGAGCAGGTGTTTTTCCAAATAAGGCCTGCTTCTGGATTAAATAACTTCAGTCTACAGATTGGGGTGTCTCAAAATTGGACAACAAGGTTTTTTTTCCCTTGCCCATAGAAAATCAAGATGTCATAGAAAATGCTATATTAAAATCTCTTTCTTGACATGTTTGTTTTTCATGTATCCATTGCATGAAGGTACATTCAACTGCCCCACCCATATATTGAAAATTCTATTGTTTGGGGAAAACCCTCACATTTTTTTGATTTATAGAATTTCTTCTCCATGTTCTCATCTTTAAAACCTATATCAAAATTAACACAGTGGATTTGTCTTATTCTATAGCAGAAAGTGCATAAACTTTGTTAGACTAGAGTTTCATTGTGAATAGTATGCTGGTGGCTGTATTCCAAGAAATGGATAGGAGTAAGCAAAAACTAAATATGTTTTTATCTAAGCTAAACATAAATTTAATTTCAAGACTCATGCTTGACTACAGTTGTTGAATCAACTATAGGTGTCATTTGTTGGACTAGGAGCAGCATTGTTCAAATTGCAATGGTTGGGTTCACAAAACAGAGCAAAAGTTAAAAAAAAAACTTAGGACCCAGATTGGATCCTAAAAAAAATCTGTATGATGACTTGCCAAAATATGCAAATGTTTTTAGAGCATGTAGAATAATTGTAATGTATAGAAATATCCAAGCTAAGTGCTTCAATCAATTAAAGTCTTACGGTTTTCTAGAAGAAAAATAAGAACAAAACACATCCTTAGAGGGAGAATCAGTGGTTTTCCAGGAATTGCAGAAATAATAACTCCCAAGTGGGCACGTTGCCTATTGCGTTTTCAAGGACTGAAGGTTTTCTGGATGAGACCCAAGAAGGTAACACCAAATGCCACTGTTGTGTGTCCTCTCCTTTGAAGCAGGTGGGAATGTTGTCCTGCAAAGTAGTTTTGAAAGAATGCTTTGCTTAGGGCATTGAAGCCAGGTCCCCTTTGAAAGGTTTACTAGATGGGAAAGAAAACCATTCTATCATAACTTTTTCTTGGCTGTGTTAAGTTTTCCTCAAATAGATTTTTCTCCTCTCTGAAAAGCACTGAGTGATGTTTTTCCTCATCTGAAACCCATCCATAGGTGAAAAACAGCAAAGAAATGTTAAGATGAAAATGTTAGTTAAGTGCCAAGACTATAAGTCACACAAAGCAACAGTTACCTTTTTGGGAAATGAGAAATGCAATCCTGGAACTTGAAAGCCAAAACAAACAATAGAGAAGCAAATCATTGCCATCTTCACGCTTTTTCATTGCTTATGCCAATGAAGGTTGGAAAGAATGCTATCCCAAAGTGAATTTCATATCCTGGCCATTTAATGCATTTTCTGTCTAACCATTTGTGGTATGTGTTTGCTCTTAAGTTGTGTTTGTTCGCAAAGACTAATTTTAAAATTTAGGCTTGAACAGGTATCAAACCTCAAACTGAATCTCTTGATATTCTCTGTAAGGTTTTGATTTTCTCCAGACCTTCAACTAGTGAGATAAAGTTACTAAAGAGATAAGCTACATAAGGAATCTGCCCCAAATATTACATAGTTTCTCTGATTCCCCTTTACAAATGAAATATAGTTATTCCAGATTTCTATTGTTGGATATATTTTATGTGTATGCATTGGAAGCTCAAGTAAAATTTATAAACAATATTGTTTTATGGCCTTCTCTTAAATAAATACTGCAAAGTGATCTGATATTGGGAGCCACACGATTTGTGCCAAATTTTAAAACTCCAAATATATGAAGCAGACCTGCATATTTGCACAGTTATGGTTGTTTCATGGAAATTGTATTGGTACCATCTTAGATTTGAATTTTTTTGTTCTGCTGCAGGCCATTTAAAATGTGCCTCTCGGTACCATTTTTTTTTTTTGCAATTCATTTATGTTTTATTTATTCCAAGGCTAAGGATTTATAGACTACTTTAGACTATAAGAGATATATTGTCAGTTGCACAAATTTGAATTTGACAAGGCATATTTGTTGAGTTTTTGTGCTGGTACAACGAACATTGCTTCTCAACTTGCCAACAAGCTTGGGAGGGGGGAGAAGTTTGGAATGCAGACTTCAAAGATTAAAAAAGCACACCGTGGGAACCAAGGACAATTGCCAGGTTTCTGGCTGAGCCTAGAGGTGCTTCTCACAACAATATTTTTCAACTTGATTGGGCAACATGATTTGACCCAGAGGGAGGAGGAAGAAGTCAATGCTTTTACTATAGTGATTTGGGTGGGGTCTTGCCAAAGCTGGTTTTACTTTCATATGTGCCGATATGGTGTATTCAATAACGTTTTGCATTAAGAGCCCAAAAAGTCTGGAAGATGTTTGCCTGGTTGGGTTCGCTTGACATTTTGATTTTTATCATCTTAAACTGGATGGTCCATTGTTGGAAGTTTCAAAAAAAGATTGGACAACCATTTGTCTGGGATGGTATAAGGACTGCTGGGACTTGGGCAGGGGCTTGGACTAGAAGACCTCCAAGGTCCCTTCCAGCCCTGTGATTCTATGATTTTAAAGTCTTCCATTTTTGCATCCCGTACCACAAATTTAATTGTACACTATACCAACAAAAATGTTTTTGCTCAAACTGTTTTTTGATTGTGTGTTGCAGAAACTTTCAGCAGGGATTCCTTTCCCAGATTATTAACTCCTTTCTCGTAAGTCTGTATAAAGTGGCCATGCCTTATCTCGTCTTGTTTAAGTACACTGAAGCAGCTCCTTCAAGTAGCAGTGGCAAATGAAAGCTCAGCCATTCAGTTCCACGAGTGGTATAGCCATCTCTCCATCAGTAGCAAGTATCATGAGGTTGGGTTTCATGGCTATCCATGTTCTTAAATCTATATAGTATTACTGTATAATGATGCAGGAAAATATTACACATTGCAAACAGTGAAACAGAAAAAATGAAATCTTGAAAGATCAGGATTGCTAAAGTTTCCATTTGTTGTAGGGTATGGAACAAATTTAAATACTGCTTGTGTTTTTAAAAGTATTTATAAGAGAGAGGGAGACAGAGAGAGGGAGAGAGATTGTGTGTGTGTGTGTGTGTGTGTGTGTGTATTCCAGAGAGTTCTAGGGGGCTTACAATAAATCAAAGTAAAATATACATCATTTTAAATTATAGAAACAGAAAACAGATGATAGCAGGAGGGAAAACAGAGTAGCAAACAAATATTTTTCAATAGCATATGATAAAAAATAGCATGTGATAAAAACAGTAAAGAGGATTACAACTAAAGGCCTTCCTAAAAATAGGCCATCACCAGTTTCTGGAAGATTGTTGGTGAACAAATGTGTCTCCCAAGAAGAATTCTAAAATGTTTATACAACTATTCAAAAATCTCTCTCAGGCAAAGTAGGAATTCACAGGAGACTTAGAACTTGCAAGGGAAATCTTGATATGCAGGGCAGATTCATTTTGGAGAAACTAGTCCTTCACACATCATGATGCTACCTTTTCAGATTCTGTGCATAACTGCCTATGGAGCTTGAGGCTTTCCTCTCCCTCGCAAATTGTCAAATATACCTGAAATTTCAGCATTCCTGTATGGTATATTTAAGATGCAAGAATGAATTGGGGAACTTTTGGGATGTAGCCATCTTGCAGGGTTTGAACCATTTTAAAAAGATATTATTTTAATATAATGTCGAAGTGTTAAGAAGGCTGTTTGGGGGATCAGTGGACTCTCTGACTCTCGTGATATCATTTAACCCCAAGAAGTGCACCATCAGCATCTGTCATCTTGAATTTTTTGAGTTGTACCTGGAAACAAATTAGAAGCCAGTACACTTGAATAAAAGAAGGTGCCTTGTTTCCAGACAGATATTTTAAGTGTCAATGAGTAATTTTCTCTTATTTTCTCTTGTCTGTATATCCTATGAGTAGTATGATTTTTTTTTTCACTTTTCCACTTTATTAGGTACATAGTATGGTTGGAGAAATGCCTATTTTAAATTCTTGAGCTACATTCATAGGTAACTGTTTGTATAATTTCACGATTGCAATAGCCATATTTCTAACTGAGATCTCAGGGAATACTGGCTAGTTTAAAAGAAAGATCCAAATATAGACTTTTCCCTTGGGTTTGACTATTGAGGACATAATCATTTTTTTATTTGTAAAGAAGCGTATTCTAAAGAGAATTTTCAGCCAGTGGCAACTTTATAAATTTAATAGCCTCATAAATAAGTAAAATATAACAATATGTAAATAGTGGGCAATGGTATTTTATCTATTTTAGTAGATGACGTGCAGTTTAAAATCAATTTAGTACATGTTTTTAATTTTCATTTTTTGTTGACAGAAAACTGAACTTTAGGTAATATATAAAATATACTGGGCATTCTTTGATTTTCATGCCTCAGCAAAGAAAAACAAAATCAAATAGTTTGTCGGGCTTGAGTCCATCAGTATTTCAGCCAAACAACTGACTAACAGTGAGGATAGTATATTAGTTATTTTCTGGTATAGAAAGAGGATGCTTGTATAGGAGAAAAGGCGCATGCTCTTAATAAGGTGAAATGGCTTTGGGAAGAGGATAGCAAGTATCGCTCAAACATTTATCCTTGTGGAAATTGTTTTGTTTAGGTCAAGTGAGTCATTACTTTTTCAAAAGATGTTATTTCAAGTCCTTTAAATGTGTTGTGTTGGATCCATAATGCAATGTCTCTTTGTAGAAGAAAGCAGAAGGTGCTGAACAAATTTTATTCCACATACACATCTGCCTTTAAAAGGGCAAATGTAAAAAAAGTTTATTCAGATCCTCAGCTATGTACACTTTAGAGTTTTCCAAATTAAGAGAAAAGGCAATTTTATTACTCTGACACCATTTATGCAAAGTGCCTTAATTGTCTTTTTCTTTCCTATCTCTGGACAGATTTGTAGTAAGATTTATTGAGCTGGATGGCCTGAGCTGCTTGCTGAACTTTTTGAAGTCTATGGACTATGAAACCTCTGAAAGTCGTATACACACATCCGTTATAGGATGCATCAAGGCTCTGATGAACAACTCCCAAGGACGAGCCCATGTTCTAGCCCACCCGGAAAGCATCAATATAATTTCGCAAAGCTTACGGACTGAGAACATCAAAACCAAGATTGCTGTGCTGGAGATCCTTGGGGCTGTTTGCTTAGTACCAGGAGGCCACAAAAAAGTTCTGCAGGCCATGCTCCATTACCAGGTCTACGCAGCGGAGAGAACAAGATTCCAGGTAAAAATGATGAATTGAGCAAAATGACCTGTAGAGCTGGTTCTCTGCATAAAACAGGATGAGCATTACTCTTTTCCCAATCAACTAAAATGGGGCATGCCTACTTGGAATGCGTTTCAGTAATTGATACTGACCAAGTCTAGGGTCTTCTCTGCATTATTTTGTTTAATAGCTTAATAACTTTAATAATATTTGTTCCATATCTTTACTACTCAAGAGAATTATTTCACCTAGTTTATGAAATCAATAATACATGAATTCCTCACTGTGAGAATTATGATACAGCGCGCTGAGCTAGAGGCAAAAGAGTGGCTAGCATAAAATGGTCAATCGTGTACCAATTGTTTTTCAGGAAAAAGGAAAGGAAGTAAAACTACTGAAGCTTCCCTTCCCCTCTCCTTTCTAGGCTTTTTACACCAATTCAACTTTTATCTTTTCTGAATAGATAGACAGCTATCTACCTTTTCTATCTTTTCCTAGAATAAAAATGGGGCCGAGAGGTGTTTTTGTAAATCAAAGTGATGCCACAAGTTTTGTGACTTAGTAGCTTTCCAAGTATTTATTGACTGGCTGAAATAATCTCAAAATATATAATCGGGCAGGGCTGTGAGCCCATGGCACCCTGCTGACTGCATTTGTCCTAATACTTCTTTTAGCAGTAATATTTACTAATATTACAAAATTATGAAGTCAGGTTTTCCCTGATATAAGTTTGTGTACTTCAAATTGCTTAGGAAGACTACGTGGACTGAAATAAGTACCTGAATATGTGAACCAAATGTGGAGAAGTAGTAACAGAACAATTCATAGGATGCCTCATAGCCTGAATGTTGAATGCTGAGTATATTTACTTAATTTGCTTTGTTTTTGGAAATACTGTCATGATACTCAGAAAACTGAGTCTAGATGTTGTGGTTAGAATTCTGCAATTACGGGTGTGCAATACTTGGATTGAAAGCAGGAAGAGGATTTTGGATCCGGTGTGGAAGAACTCAGTGTAGTGGCCAGGAGCTCCTGAAAGAAACTTTTTCTTTTTCTACAGTTCATTATGATAATATACTTTTCAGTTAAGGAGGCCTTAAGGAATTACATAGACTATGCATCATTTCTCTGTCACTTCCTTAATTCAGGCATCTATTTTCCTAGAGTTGTTTAAAGAACCAGTGACAGGTACAGGAAATGTGCTCATGCCAGATCCAAAGCATATTTCCTCCTACAGATCCAAATATTGAATATCTCTGTTTGTGATATAGCAGAGTACATGTATGTCAAAGT